ATCTCCATTGGCATAGATAGATTATAAGAGTGTCTCAATGCTATGCTCGAAATTGGATAGTGCTTAACATGGCTCCAAACAGTGGATGCTAAAGATTTTACAGCATCAGTGGAACAATCCATTGCATGCCAAAGGTAAAAACTGCAATTTTCTTTTGCTTTCTCAAGATTGGAGAGTAGTGATTGTGTAGTGTTTTTTTGGGAGGGTTCTCTCTACCCTCCGCCACTAGGTTGTTCCCCCGTTTTCTGGGGCTTCCGTCTGATCTGAATACAAGTCTTTTGTTTCTTATAAAAAAAAAAAAAAAATCTAGTAAAATTCTGTGGGGTTTGTACTTGGCTCTCTTATGGTGCCTTTACAACGAAAGAAATCATAGGGTTTTCCACAGACAACAAAACATATTCACATCAAGTTTTTTGTAATAGTGTACAGCTTAATGCTTCTTTATGGTGTCTGAACTACAGAATTTCTACTTTTTTGTAACTATAGTCTAGCCATGATTGTCCAAGTTTGGAAGGCTACTCTTTACTCGTTCTTTAGGGAGGGGCTTCTCTCTTCCTTCTGCCCTGTTTTTTCTTCCTCATCATTTTATCTTTTGTTTCATATAACTATTTGTCCTCACCTATTTGTTCGTTTCTTGCATCCCTTGAGTCTGTATCTGTTCCTAAAACTGTTCATGAAGCTTTGTCTCATCCTGGTTGGCGGNCATCATTTTATCTTTTGTTTCATATTAAAAAAGGAAAAAAAAAAAACAGAATTATAGCTTAATAAACTTTTGGGTTCTAAGTATCTTGTCCGTTATTAATCCAATTTTATCATTTAATAGTGTATCACTTGAATATGTCACTCGATCAGTGTTTTAAAAAGCTCGAGGCACACTAAAGCACTATAGACTTCTGGAGCTTAAGCTCGAGGCGCAAAAAAAAACGCGCGAGGCGCACTATATATAAAGATAAATAAAAATATATATATATATACATATATAACATACAAAAGCCAAATAATATTCAAAGTTCAAACATTATAAAGAGAAAGAGAGAGAGAGAAGAGGTTGAGAAATGACAGAGATGAAAAGCTTTTGTGTGGAGGTTTTGTTATAGAAAAAATATTTCCTTCCATGTGAAGGAAGAGAGAGAAATCACATAATATTAAAGGGATTCACGTAAATGGAGGGAGAGAAAATTGAAAAGATTATGGAAAGATTGAGATCTTTTCCAAAAATAAAGGAAAAGATTGGAAATTTAAAAGATTATGGGCTTTGGGCCCATTTTGAGATTTAAAAAAAACCCTAAACGCAAGCATTAGGGTTTTTTTTATAGTTTTACAGGCTTCAAGGGAGGCGCACCTTCATTTCGCCTCGCCTTGCCTAGGCGCGCTGTTTAAAACACTGCACTCAGTCATACTGGCTTCGAGTTCTTAAGTTCAAACCTCCTAATGAGCTTAATACCAAAAATCCTTAATGTCTCTCAGGTTCGGGCCTTGGGGCGGGCGAGGGTGTCCCTGGGTTTAGGGGAACAAAGCTCCGACTCCCAATTCTCAAAAAAAATAATAATAATAAATAAATAGTATATTACTTGAATATAAGATACCAATATAAAATTGGGGTAGGGAACTGACCCAAATCTAATCATATAATTGACATATTTCATGAAAAAAGTCTTATCCTGCTGTTGCATCTCTGGATCAAATGATACTCGATAATAAATTGAGCTTCACACATCAATTACAATGAGTCATCTCTCAGTGCAACATAATTATGGTCCATACATGTGTGCCTATTTGCATTTGAATGGTGGGCGATGAGTGATACAAGCTTTCCTACCATCCAAGAATTTACCTTAATGGTGTTATCTCAAATAGCTTCTCATACAGCTTGGAAAGAAATTAAAGTATGTTCACCTTGAACAACATCGACTATCTTAAAAGAAATTGGAATCACTAGGTTTCTACTGCTACAGTATATAATTCAAAATTTGAAATGGTGAAGTTCAGGCAGACAAGATAGCATATGCATACTACTTGAATTTGCTTGATATTGGGGCCAATCCAAGGGAAAAGGACAATAATCCACTTTTTTATGGTGGTAGCACAATTCATACATTCCTTCGTTCTCTTTATACTTAAAATATTTTTAACTAAATTCAATTATTGATTGATGCTAACAGTATGTTGGTGGGCCTCTAATTTTGATGTATCATCTAAATTTAAATAGGAACGCAAATTGAGCGCATAAAAGCAGACATCCTTGATGGCCAATAGACCTTTTTCCCTATTTCAATATCTAATTGCAATCCTCTCCCAATTGAGCTAACAGTATGTTGGTGGGCCTCTAATATATATTTTTTTAGGAGGTGCGGTGCTCAAAGGAAAAGCTTCGGTCCTATGATATTGTGTGGCGAGAGCCCTCCTTTGGCTCCTTTGGAAAGAGTGGAATAGTAGACTTTTTTAGAACAATTCAGTCCCCTTAGATTCTTTTTATGTGAATACTGAGCATAGAACTTCTTGGTGGACAACAATCCATAAGAAGGCTTTTTGTAACTACAGTCCTTTTTTGATTTTACAAGATTGGAAGGCTGCAATTGTATAGTTCCTTTGAGGAGGGTTCCCTCTACCCTCCGCCTTTGGGCTGTTTTTGCCTTTTCGGGCTCTTTTGATATGAATGTATTCCCTTCGTTTCTTATAAATAAATATATATATAGAGATTTTTTTTTTATAAGAAACCGAAAAGGATTTATTAACTGCACAAAAGAAGACAACCTAAGGGCAAGGGGTAGAGACAACCCCTCCCACAAAAAACTAGCTACAAAAAGGCTTTCCAATTGTTGATAATCAAAGAGAAGCCATAATTACAAAAGGCTTTGGATCTAGTACACTGCCAAGAATTACAAAAGGCTTAGGATCTAGTACACCACCAAGAAGCCAAGTAACAAATACTATCCACAAAAGAATCCTCTGAACTGTTTCCTCAAAAATACGTTGGTTTCGTTCCTTCCTTGTTTTCCATAACACTGCCTTCACTGCACACCACCATAATGCTTTGACTTTTCCCCTGAACCTCATCCCCTGCAAAGCTTCCAACACCCAATCATCCACCTTCGTAGGGAGACAAGTAGAAAAGCCTAACTCCTTAAAAATGAAAGACCAAGCCTTGAAAGTAAAAGGGCAGTGGAGAAGCACATGGTTGATCGATTCCGCCCTTACAAAGAAGACGAACCGAAGGAGACAGGGTCCAATGAGGGAACCTTCTCTGGAGCCTTTCAGATGTGTCAATTCCTCTGTGCAGAGAGGACAAATCGAAGGTGGGCCTCTAATATTGATATATCATCTGAATTTAAATAGGAAGATAAATTGAGCACATAAATAGACATCCTTGAAGATAAATTGAGCACATAAATAGACATCCTTGATGGCTAATAGACCTTTTTCCCTATCTCAATGTCTAATTGCGACCCTCTTCCAATTGAGTCATTTCATTATCATTTCCAAACCCACAGGCCGAAACACACAAACCTCAACACGGTTTCATGTTTTGAACTGAGTTATAAAATTTCCTTCCAGCACCTATTTAAGTAGCTCTGACAAGTGAGCAACCAACATGTTGAACTTCCAGCCGTGTTCCTATTCCCAAACACTTCCATCTTACTTCAGGGCCTAAAGTTCCAGGAAATGTTCTCTCCTATGATGCTTGAAATTGAGCAACGAGAGCCCTTGAAATCCACTACGTGAATGGAGTGGTTGTTATTACTTCGTCCATTGGTTCCATGCAAGGGCGTCCCTCATCGTGATAAGACTAATCACCTCCTTCATCTCTCCATGCATCTTCAAGTAATCTCTCTGCCTAAAAGTTCTATCTATTGGGGTTTGTTCCATCAAAATAAAACAACAGAAGCTCCACCTTTTTCATCATCACCTTGCTCTCCTTGTTCACTCGCATCACTTGGCTCACTCCCTCCCTCCACAAGCACGGAACTCTTCTATGCTGAAGTCTCCTACACCTCTTCGATCACCATTCTCAGTCGATTATAATGATTACCCATCCTCTTCACCCTTGGCATGTCCATGGCAAAGCTTTGGTACCACTAATTGTGGGGAAAGAATACAAAACTACCAAACTTTCAAGAGGTTTGGTTCTCTCCAAAAAGAAAGCTAGAGCCCCTAGCTCCTGACTAACTTTCTACCTGCCTCACTCCCACCCCCATGTCACGTCTCTTCATAGTTACCACCTTACCCACCCTACAAGTACAACTCATCCCTATCATTCTATTATTAAGAGAATTTACATGACAATATTCCTACACCCTTCCCCGGTATCTCAACCCACATAACTCTTAACTCTGCTTGAAGGGAACGCGCAGCCTCCAGTAAGGATAAGTAAAGCAAACAGGTAGCTTGTCATTCCTATCAAATCTTACCTTGTTATAAACTTATAAGAAGAAGTATGATTACTAGATCCTTAGAGATGTGTGTGTGTGATGTAGTGATAGATGTCCTTAAAGTTGTTGTAGCTTAAGTATCTTTATATACGTGGATTATGTTTTTAGTAGTTTCCTTTCACAGCACAGTAACTTGTAGTTACTGTTCGTTTGTTATAAATCAGAACCTCTATAAATAGGTTTCTTATTCTCTAATAAAGGCATGATTTGAAGTTATTCTCAAAACCTTGTGCAAGATTGCATCAGTGTGGCTGGATTTAGTATATTGTATCTTGGATCCCCTTAAAAGAGATCCACCTTTTTCCCGTTAACTAACAGTATGTGACTTTGTACCAACATCCCCAAAACAAAGAAGAGAGTCTAGATCCATCATTGGAAGAGTGGATGCAAAACAAATCATGATACAAATAGATAAAACAACTGCAAGAAGAGATAACCCGGAAAAGAAGTATCAAACAATAAAACAAGCCCAGGAAATGACCACACGGGTTTTTTTATCCCTTTTTTTAGTGTGCGTAGGCAGAATGGAGGGAAATGAGGTGTATGAGATTTACAAAGGTGGACAAATACCTCCATCCCACGGGGTGTCATCAGGCCTGCAAGACATCCCAACAAATAAAAAGTATCCCATGAGATCAATTATACAATAAATCTTACCCAAACCTTATCGCCACAATGGTAAATGGTGAATCAATAAAATTCTTAGCCAACATACCCAAATATTACAGCATTCCAAAGCATTATGTTATTGTCTTGAGGAGCACCACTAATGCCTGCAGGAGGATCTTGTTGCAGCCTCTTAAAATCTCTCATCAGCCTTTTCCTGGCCGGAGTTGACATCCTCGCAGCCTACAACTCCAATAATGCAAAATAAGAAGTAAGAAGTACACATCACAATAATGAAAAAGTAAAAGTGATTGGATCAGCATAATTTTCTTTTCTCTTCTTGTTGGGGGTTGGGATGTGCAAACTTCACTGAAAAAGAAGAAGGTGTGGCTATTGGAAATGGAAGGGACATTTTATAGTGGAAAGCGGACCCATCCGACCGTTTCACAGTCAATTCAGCCTTCATGGCTCTCACGTCCCCTTCTCCTAAACTTAATTCAACTACAGCAAACTTGATTTGGAATTTTAGAGTCCTAAAAGGGTAAAATTCTACATTTGGACTTTGTTCTGTAGAGGGATAAATACTGCAGAGAAACTTCAAAGGAAACTCCCTCACTGGACTCTTTCTCCCTCTGTGTGCACAATGTGTTTGAGCAACAATGAAACAGTGGACCACCTCTTTCCCCACTGCCCTTTTGTTTCCAAAGCTTGGGGGTTTATAGCTTCTTTGCTAGATTTCTCTCTTTGCATTCCTAGAAGAATTGAGGATTTCATTGCTGAAGGTTATGGAGGAAGGCAGCTCAAGGGCAAAGCGTGGGTTCTTTGGAATTGTGCAACTCGGGCTCTTTTATGGTCGATATGGAAGGAACGGATAGTCGGCTTTTTGAAGATAAGTTGATTTTATTAGATTCTTTTGTGTGAATATTAAGCTTCTAGCTTCTTGGTGGGCTTTACTACACAACAATCTTCTTTTGCTTACACAAGATTGGAAACCGGTGATTGTATAGAGCTTAGGGAGGGTTAGCTCTACCCTCCGCCTTTTGTTTGTATCCCCTTTAGGGGTCTTCTTGATTTGAATACACTTATTTTGTTTCTTATAAAAAAAGAGAGAGAGAGAGAGAGAAGAAAAAAAACGAGAACAAACATAAAATCACATAATAAAATTGAAGATCGCTCAAATAAATCAAGACTTGTTAATTTCAATGCTTTTAAAATTGTAAAAAAATGCACCTAAGCACCAGGCACGTCTAAAAGACGGCAGTCAGCACAGTCAGTGGTAACGGTTTAGGTGTTTAGGTAAGTACTTGAGCATGACTTAATGATTTACACAATCTAAGAGAAATACTCCATAATAAATTACAACAAACCTCATCTTAGCTCTCCTTTCCTACTAGACATGAGAAGCTTGAAGCCTACATTTAAATAGAGTGTAGTAGAAGAAGACTTCACCCAACTCCACTCCTATACTAACCATTACAGTCTTCCCCTTCCTATGTTCTGACCACCATCACTCTCTCTACATGTGTGCACACAACTTTTTCCCTTTTCTATGGTGGCTTGCTGAAATTTCTCGTCTCACTGCCGTTTTGGAAGTTTTCGATGGTGCCCCTTCCCAACCACTTGTGACCTCTCCCCTTCAATTCCAATATTTGGCCACCTCACACCACAAACCTTTCAGTTTTTCCCCAATGAATTTTCTAGAGGAAATTATATCGGAAGGAAAAATTGTTCCATGTATTTTAGAAAATGTTAGTACTTTAATTTTTTTCAAAAATGTCACAAACTTTGCTTTGTTTTTTCTTCAAGTGATTAGTTTTTTTTTTTTGTTTAATTTTTTTTTAACAAGAAATAATTTTTTCATTGATGTATGAAAAGGAAAAATGCTCAAGGATACAAACTCCAAGAGAGAGTGAAAAAAGAAAAGAAAAAACAGCCAATTGAAGAACACAAGTCCAAGTAATATGAATAAAACAATGAAGAACAAAGCAACAAGAGGCTTGAAAAAGAGCCGTGCCGAAAGAATCTTAGACACTCCCTTCAAGCTGGGACATGATCAGAAATGACGACCAAACAAAAGATAAGAACAGCAAGCTGAGAAGGTTCCCAAACTCCAAATTTTGCAGCAAAATCTGTTGCACCGAAATAAGTTGCCTAACAAAAAACCATCTTCAAGAATCTTTGACCTCATTCTCAACTTCAGAATTCACAGCTTTGAAATTATTGGTATGAACAACACATATTCAGAATGCAGACTCACTTTGAAGTGATAGAAACAACAGCTCTAAGACCAAGAATATTCAATATTGATAAGCACTTCAATTGCTGCCAAACAAAGACAATTATGCCTATGATGAAATGCTTCTGAAAAATTGTAGTGTATCTCTACAATAAACATGAATACTCAACCTTGACGGAAAGATTCTGAAAATAATACCAACCGTCATTCCATTGACCTCCATTATCAAAAAACCATCGACAACTGTTCGAACAGCAAGAATAATTGTATCCTTTGGAAAGAATGGATCCATAGGATCTGAAACCCAGGATGTTAAAGCTAAGATCGGGCTGAAAATGGACACCATTCTTGACGCTCTAGAGATATCAAAATATTCTCCCATCTTTTCGAAACAAAGAAAGAATAGGACCATAAAACGTCTACACCAAGTTACTCTTTGGATCTTCAAAAAAAAAAAAAAAAAAAAACCCAGGACAATGAAATTTAAAAAAGTTCTTGATAGACACTCTTTTCTGAAAAGTTCCCAGACCACGGACATTCCACAAAAAAGCTTCAAGATGAACTCTTGAATGGAACAAGTGATGTTCCTGATTCTTAAAAATGTTGTCTGATTGAGAAGGGAGAGGGACCTTCTTTGTTGATTACCATTGGAGGTCAGGAATTAACACATTTTTAGTAGTTTGACAGAAATCCAGCTTACCATATTGGGAAATGGACTCTTCATCTTCATTGAAAAGATCATGAAAATCTTCAGTAAAAGTATACTCCAAAAAATCTTCAAATAAGACATCTGGAGGGTCCAAATCAATAGGCAAATCTAAACTACTAATGCTGGTGCTAATTTCCTCATCGTCATCAGAAAGAACATTGTCCAATTTACAAATATTCAAGGAGACATTAGTAGAATTAATAACCCCAGAGGATAGAGATAATAACCTTTGATTCCTTCTGTATCTCTTCAAACGATGCCTTTGGTAAACAAAACGACTTCCTAATGAACTTCTCTCTCTCTTTATTGAATGCATCATTCAAATTCAATCGTACTCTTTCGTCTGAATTTAGCAAATCAAGTTCATTGAATGCCAATGATTTGTATTTTCTTCAAAAATAAGAAAAGGACGGCGGATCATAAATTTTCTGGGAGGTAAATTGGCTGAAGAGAAAACAGAAGATTCTTTCCCAAAGGAGACTTTAGAAGTTCCATCCAGATGGGTTGCATGACTAACATCTGGATATTTAATGATACTTCCGTTGGGAGAACCTAATTCCAAAGATACATTAAAGCCAGGTTTCTGCATGACCGTACTTGCAACCCTTTCACTAATGACCCTAAAAATGTTACCGTTGAAGTACACCCTTTTTTCTTCCTCATTAAGAATCTCTTTGTCTTGAATAGGATTTATTGAAATGCTGCCACCTTCTTCCAAAGACTTCAGTTTTTTTCGTTTGAATTCAAATCTAATTATGCTATTTGTGTAAAATTTTAAACTTGCTACTACATATTTTTATTTTGCATTTATGTAATTGCCTCAATTTTTTATCCATTATGTTTCTTCCTGAGTTTGGGACGACGTTGGAGAATAGTATTTTTAAGTGAAGCACTTTTTCTATAAGTTATTTAGAAAGTAAAAATAATATTAAAATGCTTCCTTTAATTAAAGTTAGCACTCAAATTTGCCCTTGGTTCTCACCCTGCACCTAAGAGCTATTGCATCTTATTGTGCCTTTTCACTTCTAAAGAACACTAATTTATGTATTCCACTGAAAGTTATCAAAATCAAAAGGAAATCAGGACATTACAGAAATAAAAATGGAAGAAGGTAAACAATTGACACACAATAGATGAGATTTAACATAAATAGTTCAGTCTCTAATACCATTTTCAACTTTGACACATTCATGAGCAGGTATAAAACGTTTGGACATAGAACCTATACCAAAATCACAAGCTTTCAATTCCATCCTTCAACAGAGGAGCTGAATTCCAACAACCAGATCACAGAAATGAAGTAACAAGGTAAGAAAACTCGATCATCAGACAACTAATTCCTGGGTAAACACACGTAAACCAAGCTGGAAACGACGTAAAACCCTCCAATATCGTTCCCAGCCATCTCAAGTCAAACAAATTACAAGATCCGTATGGCCTAATCGCCCAAGGACATAGATACATGAAACAATTATAATTAGGGTTTGTGGGGAGCCAATTTTTCATAAATTAAGCTGAAAAGATACATTGATCCATCAAAAATATGAGATGAGAAGGGAAATTAAACCAAAAAAACTGAGGAAACAAAGAGAAGTCTGACCTGAAAGCTATTCCAGCGAGAAGGGTGAGTGGGTTGAAGAAGCTGAGAATCGAAAGCGGGAGAGAAAGAGAAGCTGATAGAAATGGAGTGAAACCGAAAAAGGCATTTGGTATAAGAGAGAAGCGAGAATCTGAAGAGCTATCTAAAATCCATATATTCTCATCATCTTGGCAGGCTTAGGTCAGCGGTTCGCATCGCCCGCTCCCTCTCTTTCTTTCTTTCTCTTTCATTTATATTCCATTTTTTCTTTCTTTCTTTCTAATTATTATTATTATTATTTTATGTAAATTCTCTCTTCCTGCAAGTTGATGGGGAGACTCCTAGCCCCTACTGGCCGCCGGTGGGCCCATCTGATGGATTTGTCGGTTTAACTTTTACCGACTTGTGTACGATAGATTTTGGTACTTCTATTTTTTTGCCTTTTTCATTTTTATTTTTAGAAAACAAAATTCATAGGTGATCCTTTTTTATTTTATGTTTTGTAGAATAAAACTATGGTTTTATTTCCTGTGGATGCCGAAATTTCGGCTTCACTAGATCCTGCCAAATTTGCACCACTCCTTATCAATGAAATCATACACTTTTTTACATTTTTGCCCTCCATTTTTTTCTCCATATATTTTCTTTCATCAATTTTTTTCATTTTTCCTCAAAATTTTCTTTATTTTATTTTTAAATTTATAATTAAAATAAATTAATATACTCATCGTCTAATAAATAACTTTATGCTATTAAGTATATTTGTATATTAGATTTACATGTAAAATAAACTACAATTAAATTATATAATATCTCTATTTATTCTTAATATTGTGAACGAATTACATTATTAATAATATTTATTATCATAAATATATAATTGTAATGCAACATTTTTTTTACAGCCAACATACCCGTGATATTTTTCCTCTTGAAAAAAATATAATGTGATGATATGATAAATAAATTTCACTCAAGATAACATAAATTATATAATTGTCCTTTTGGAAAACTATTAAAGTTGAAAATGAAACTTATATTAAATTAATAATGAATTAATTTGTTCTACGAAATAACATATAAAAAATAAAAATATTAAATTAATTCAAATAAATCTATTATATTAGATGAATTTATAAATTATATAAATATTTATGAGGGCATTTTTGGAACATTCTATAAATTTAACACATTCCTAAGACTAAATCCTGCAAAACAAACGTGACTATCCAATATTCTCGGATATCTTTAAAAATATTCCTACGAAACAAACATGGTTATCTGAAGATGTCAGACATCTGAAATTCCGAGCATCTAAAATTTCGGGCATCTCTAGATGTCGGTCATCTACATCCCGAAAAACAAATGGCACCTTAGGGTTTAGTTTTCCTCTCTATTTATAGAAGTCGAATCATCATTCCTTTAGGAAACCACTTATGGGCCTATGTAATTTGTAGAGGGTCGTCGGTCGGATTGTGGGCTTGTGGGCCCGCTTGGGGGCTTCACAAAGATGGGATAAGTTCGGGTCGGGTCGCACAGGACAGTTGGAGAGGCCCTGTCGGAGTTCTCAGCCATCCGCAGAGCCCGGGTTGGCCATCAACGATTTAGGCCACCTGATTTCGTCTCGTTTGGTCTGAATTCGTGGGCTCTCTTCTCCTTCGGCCCAATTTTGGCCTCTTGTCATTTTGTCGAGCCTCATTTGATCTACTTATAACAATTACCCCCACTCTCTATGTTGTGATCACTCTGGATTTGTGTTCACTACCTTGAGAGTAAATTCGTTGGGTCGGGTCTTTGATGTAAACCTTTGTTAAGAAGTTGGGTAGAAAATTGAGATGAGCCGGCCCATTTAGAATGGAGGGAAGGGATTGTTTGAATTTTCGAACCACATGAAAGCACAAAAAACTGTGGTTTCACGTGTTCTGACCGAGCAGGGCTCGGTAAAACGCGTGACCTGCCAGTCACTTCCTTGGAAAAGGGTTCATGTGGTCTTATCTTGGCGCGACCAGCCTTTAACTGCCTCTACTTTTATGTGTTTCTATTTCTTGAAGCATAGTCCCGAAAACAACCTTCATTTTTATGTTAGTTCTCATAACTAAGCCTTGATCGTTGGTCCTTATTCTATAAAAAAATTGAAGGACCAGTGGTTCTTCGTTGGCGTGATTAGCTTGCCCGAGATGATAATGGACTGCACTTTCCAGTCCCGATGGAGTGTAGGAAATTGGGTGGATACCTTTTCTGGCTCTATCTAGACTACATTCCTTCTTTGTTTACTAACCTTGTTTTTCCTACAGCTCCGCGTCATCCTGAACTTACGCCTGCTGATTGGGCCTCCTATAACGCCGTTGTTCATTTGCCCGTGGCAGACTAGTGGTGTCCGACCCTGGTAAAAGAGAAGAATATGGTTAATTTCGGCCTTGTACCTTCTCAGCAAGCTTCAGGTGGTTGTTGATTGTACATCTTGGTTCAGGCCAATACCTGCTCTTCCTAACCCCTATCCTTCCTTTTGTTTTTGTAGGAATGTCGAGGCACACGACTTATCTATTTGAGAGAGACAAAGGCATAATAGTAAGAACTCGGGAGCCGGCTCGAGCCGAGCTTCAGACATCGATGTGACTAACTTAATTGATGATGATCCCTCGTCTCACCAATATCAGACGTAGCCCGCGACGTTTGGCTCGTCTTTAGGGGGGTTCACCCCCTCTTCTGTTGGGTGTGTTGCCCTAAACTCGTAGTTTGTATTTTGTAAAAACAAATGTCTATTTAATAAAGTTTTATTCAATAAATTTGTTGTTGAA